TGATGTGTACACTTCTTAGTTAGCCTTTAATACCCTGAGAGAGGATCTTCTGAGGCACCACAGTAGTTTGCACTCAGGGCTTCCTCTGAGGCTCCTTAGAGATTCAGAAGCACAACAGAATGTATAGGAGGTTATTTTCTTAAAATCAACTTTTGAAAACCTACAGAGAGCAATATGTCTTGAATTTTTTTACTTTTTCAACATTTATTTGGCTAACACTTTACAGCACAGAAAACCTTGCCCTGATCTCTGAGGCTCCTTAAAATCAACCCTTTTACACTAAAGGGAGAGCAAGTTCAGTTCACTGGGCTCTTAACTCCAATTACCTTTCCTGCAGATCCCTTCAAATTAAACCAGAAGCACTCTGATTTTCACATGAATGCATCCATAAACCCCTGCATCCTCAACCTGCCCTCTCTGTTCTGATGGTATAACTCGCTCTCCTTACCTTTCTGACAGGAATTCAGTAAGATTTACCGAGTACTCACCACAAAATCAGAGCAGCACTGGAAGCACTAAGAGTGGTGAAATAACACTAACTAAAATCCTGTCTGGGAGGGTTCTGGAAAGAAAGTTACTGGTTTGGGTTGCAGTGGCTGAGAGATGCCTGATGGCTGAAGTTAGTCTTGGCCTAAATTTTGAAAGACTTTTGCAGCTAGAAGGGTGCTTTCATTTCTTCGTCATTTTACAGATGAGACAAGTAAATGAGTGAGATTAAGTAACGCATCTAGCTACTGAAAAAACAGAAAGTCATCAGGATTAAAAACCCAAATCCCCAAAAGAGCATCCAATGCTTTCTCTGTAAAGCACACCACGTTTGAGTAAGCACAAAGCCTCAGAGGGGCCTTCCAGTCAGGGGGAGGAGCACAAAGTGGTAATAAACATCTTTTCTAGGCCTGGCAGCCAAGAAGGCAGTGCGGGACTGGAGCAGAGCAACATGGATCAGGAGGGTGGAGCCACACCTCGTTCAGCAGCACAATTTTATCCTGAGGAACCTCCAAGCAGTGCTAGGATGAAATTAATATCCTATGATTTTTCAAGAGAGAGCTTTTAAAACCTTAGTGATTCATCACGTATCAATGTTACCTATAAATTTCAAAAAACATGCTACTGAGTGAATTATTTGATCCTATTATCTTGCTAAGTGTGCTGTTAGAGAATCAGACATAGTTTACAGAGTTTAATATGACATAATTTAATGAATTCAAAATCTGAACTTTGTGGTTTGGAATTTTCCTCTGTCCACTAAATAGTGAATGAATTTCCACATGAGTTCAGATAGTATCCCTTAGATTTTAAGGCCATAAAATCAAAGATAGAATTCTAAGAGGTTTAAATTGTTCTGTCCGTAAGCTTGGATCCCAACCCCTCAAACTTATAGCACTATGAATGCCCTCTAAGGTATGAGAGCCCCCAGTGATGTGTAATGAAATTCTTAATGCTACCGGGGAACAAGGAGCAATTTTTCTTTTATGAACAATGAACATGGGATACAGGGCCCTAAGTGAGCAGCACTAAGTGCACCACCTGCTGTCAATCAACATTTTGACCATTAATGTCATTTAAGCTATTAGTCCAATTTAAATGAATATCATCATTGCTTAGCTATTAAACCAGTTATAGATTCCAATCCTTGAATTTTGAAATAACGAGAGCCATAGAATGTCATGAGACAATTATCCATTACTGTTTCTCCTGAAGTGAAAATACTGTTATAATGATGTCACTGATTTTCAAAAGCATCTTAGGACCCTTCATGTCAAAAAAAGAAGACATTTTTCAATAATAGATTATTTGTAATTGGAGTATCAGACTTATCTCCAATGAACAGAGAATCAAACCAAACACTACACATGATTTTTCTTCGCCTGTACAACCCTTCATATGACATCTTAAAGTTAACAACTTGGAAATTGTTTCTAACAATAACTGTAAGAGAGCAGTTAAATGTTCTGTTTGATAACTTTTCCCCTCACTTTTCTTTAACTGCTCATTTCCTAAGCCCCTGCTCCTTAGAATTTTTAAGTTTGATTCCTGATATACTGATAAAATGCATTAACATCTATTGTGTCTTCTAAAGGAAATTAGATACATTTCAGCATAATACCAGCAGAAAGGCAGGATGTCTTAGTAGAGATGGAGGTTGAATTCCAACTCAGCAGCTGATTACATGACCTTCACCTCAAAAAGTTTTCCTTTCCTTGCCTGTGAGATTAAGATGTTGGAATTATCATCTCTAAGACTCCTTCCCAATTCATGAATTTCAAATTCATTTTTAAGCACTGGGCACTTCATTCACTTGGCATTTCCTTTCCTCTTCTCATTTAAACGTGTTTATTAGCATGTCCAGTCTTGTTCCTCTGTTGTAGTCTCAGACTATTTTATCACTGACAGAAAGTCCCTAATAAACATTTCAGATATAACATTTAGATCATCCCTGAAGAAGAAATATGATATGTCATTAATGCCACCCATATGGACTATTTTCAGAGACTATTGGTAAGAGCTCTTGTATGATAAACAGGAACCAACCTTATTAGACATGTGTATAGATGTGTAAAAGCACATGGACCTTGGAATGGCTGTTCAATTTTGGGGAAGTTACTTCACTGTTCTGAGATTTAGTTTCTTACTCTGTAAAATGAGGGAGCTGGAGAAGATAACCTCTTAAGATCCCCTTAAATTTCAACAATTATAATTCTATACCAACAAAAAAATTAAACAACACTAAAAATATTTTCATTGATTTATATAGTTTAAGATAACTCAAGGATACTCAGAATTCTAGTAAAGGAATAGTTATGCATTTATATGTACATTTTCATAATTTTTTTGAAGTTTTATTTATTTATTTTAGAGAGAGAGAGCACAAGTGGGGGGAGAGGCAAAGGGAGAGGGATAGAGAGAGAAGCAGACTCCACGCTCAGTGTGGAGCCCAACACAGGGTGCTCTCATGATCCTGAGATCATGACCTGAGCTGAAATCAAGGGTCAGCCGCTTAACAAACTCAACCACCCAAATGCCCCTGTTTTCATAATTTTTATAATCATTTTACTTGCATTGTTTCAGAATTTGCTTTCAATAACTTACAAATAAAACGTTCGTGAAAGAACAGAAATCAGACAACTTAATCCCACTCTTATAAACCATAAACCTTAAGAATAGCAATTTAAAGAAATGCTATCTGAACTATTGTGCAATACACTAATATTTTATGACTTCAACCGCAACTTAAAAGTATTTCATGAAGTTTTGAGAATTAAAGGTAATCTGGAATTTTTTTCAGGTTCAAAAATAAAAGTTGCATTTATGTACTGTGAATACAAAGTATGGTTGAATTTTAATAAATCGCCAAAATTTAATCAAAAGTTTTACAAAACAGTATCTCCATGATAGATAAACCGAAATTGGCAAAATGAGTCATAGTTTAATCAAACTCAGTGCTGTGAAGAAATCTTTTCTTATTAGAAGAAGGTTTATAATTTTAAAATCTGTACTGTTTTGCAAAACCATATATAGCCCTTTAATTTAATCCAAGAATTACATTGTTTCTGGCTTCTCAGATTACATCCCATATCCTCATTGATTATTTATTAGCCAAGTCGAGAGAAAGAAAGATCGTGGTTCAATGTTGATGGAGAAGCGCAAATGACTGCTGCCCAGGGCTTTACATCTGACAGAATGTCCTTTCTCTTTGACTTTCTCTTCAACATGATGTTTTCCCCTCAAAAGAGAGTTTTGTGCTTTAAGACCCTCAATACAAAGGAATTTAACTCTGTGCTCTGAAGGGATCAGCACATGAGTCTCCTGAAAAAATATACTGCTTAGCCTAAAACTTTTAGTTCCTAGTTTAAGTATCTCAAAGTGGAATTCGGTTAAGGCATAGAATTTCTCATGGTCTCAAATCATGACTGTACATTGTTATCATCAGGACATCACATGGTTAGCATATAAAATGTTCATTGATCCTGTTCCCTGAACCTCAGGGATATAAATGGCTTCAAGACTTCCAAAATGAAAAAAAAAAAAAAAAAAGACTTCCAAAACGAGGGAAACAAAATATAAAAAAAGTACATTTCTTTGCAATAAATTATAGCAATGCCCCACCTGTTTTCACTGTATTCAAAATTCCTGTCCATTACCAGGCTGAGATCAGAACAGTAATGTGAAAGTGAGTAAGTTTTAAGACTACTAGTGTCTTGCATTTTACTTTCAAAGATGAGAGTACAATATGGATAATCTGTCACATTTTATCAACTTCCTGAAAGGCATGACATGGTAAATTGCACAGAAAGAGTAATATTTGGGGAGTTTAAAATGTTAAATGCTTTCCTACATCTTGCCTCCTCTCCCCCCAAAAATGGTACATAACAAATAACATTAAAATGACAAGAATTATAAATTAGGAAGTCTGAAATCAACCTAAGACATGAAAAGTATTGCATAAAAAAACTCTCTTACAAGAAAATAAAATATTGCCTATATAATTAAAATGGATTTGGATACAATTATTCCAGTAGGAGGGGTGGGGTATGTTTCTGAACATTTCCTTCTTGAAACTAGTTGACAAAAGAGGATTTACTCCATACTCCATTTAAATGATGTTATTTCTAGAACTTTATAATGCTTATCAGTTCCTCCTATGAAAGATGGGCTGCTCTTTGTGACTGTGGAGCCATGACTTCCCAATATCTATCATTACAAAAACAGTTTGCTCGGTTTGACTCCCCACATGACAATGGACCCGCATCTGTCAACAGAATCACATTATGGATGCCATGTGAGAACATGACTGTGACATTTACTCTTGTGACAGGGCAAATTTCGGCAGCTCATCTGGAAAGAGATGAGCATTCATTATGCTGCGGCACCTTTCATCAAGCTAATGACACTTCAATCAGCACATTTTCTCCAGTTTCAATACTTTGCCATCTGAGCACAAGTCTCTAATTACGCCCAAGCAACAAGTTTCACATCAATCCTACAATTTCTGCACTCACCATACACCATCGCTCCTCCGGTTTCATGCAAGAAGCGAAATCGATGATTTTTAAATAACCAGATTGTCAAAATGGTAAGGATGAGCAAAAAATTAAAGACAAGCAGCTCCACCGCTCCCTGATGTTGAAACTGATACTCATCCTTCTCTGACATAAACCTTTGCTGTCTCTCCATTCTCCGGTCTTCTTGGGATTCCTTAGATAAAAACCTGGATAAGAGCTATTTTATCAGGATTTGCCTAAGACAGTCTGGCTGCCTGAAAATTTCAGAATAAACACTGCCACTTAAGTTGCTACTTCATGAGCGTTCTGCCTTGGCTTAGTATTCAGATGGCTTCTAGTTACAACTTCCTGTTTCTCTCTTAAAGCAGCCCTGTCTCTTTTCAAACTCCAGAGTGTAGTTTCATCATGGACTCTTACTATCTTTAAACGATTCATTCCACGAAATTATCTTTCATGTTGGACAGACCTACACGCAATCATTCTGAGATCTTGAATCATGATTCTTATTGTCTCAAATAAGCTCCTGAAGCTGCATAAATGGTAAATTGTAGATTAAGAATAAAACAGATCACCTTTCATCACTAACATTTTCTAAGGTCAAAAAGCTGATTCCCGAATCATAACCTCACTCACATGCCAGATTTCCCCTCTACAACCAAAGTCTACCAATGTAATATGGAAAGATTGATAACCTCTGATTTGACCTAAAATGATTTCACAGGAATTTCCTTTTAAGTTGAGAAGCAAGAAAGAATTTAATATATGATTCTCTCTCGCGCGCGCGCGCGCTCTTTCTCTGGCTTTATATAACTGGTAGTCACAAGCGCAGCGTTTAAACTCTGAATCAGTTTCCCTTTTAACGAGAATAAATGAAAGCAAAAGACAAAAAGAAAATCTGTTCCCATTTCTACAGCTGTGCTGTTTGGATATGTTGAGTCAAAAAAGACACTGAACACATACCTCTGAAGGAAGAAACTATACGGCCATCCTCAGTAATACCACATACATGGATTTCTCTTTATAGGGTTTCTGGCCCAGACATTCAGGATGCACAGAAATCTGCCACAGATCACAAACCTCTGTCCTGTGGCAAAACAATGTGGTTAGGTCACTGAGGAAGAGTCTGCCATCAGCTACGAAGGCTCCAGAAATCACAAGGCCCAGACCATAACAGTGATGATTCTTCAGATCACCTTCCATTTGGCAGGCTAGTTCTGTTTGAATTTATATTTTTATGCTGTTTGAAAACATTCAAGACAATACTACTGCCAGGGGCTCTGCTGCTTTTTTAGCAACTGCTATGATTTGTTTGCCTTATTGGTTCTACAGTGCAAGTAGATACATTCAAGGGTTAAGTGAGTTTTTTCTTCATTTCATGGTATCATTGAAACTCAGAGGAGTATAAATCACTTAGTATCCCCATACGTGACAGAACTGGTATTCAATTTATACAGTGTAAATGATTCCTTGAGTAGGAGGAGTCCAAATATATCCTCCAAAGTTCTTGTCACCAAAAGCTAAAGGTCAAACATGTAATATATTGGGAACTAACTAGCTCCTCAGTAACAGTTTCACCCACAGGAAAGTCTATCAACCACTTACTATAAAACTGCTGTTTCAGCTTCTTTGCCTTCTGCGACTTTTGAAGCTGATTTCCTCTCTGCGTTTAATTCAGCAGGGGGGTATTTATGTGGGCTGCAGATGTTCTTTTAACACACTACCCTTTTTGGCAGGCATATCTGGGATGACTAATATTCAAACTGCTTTGAAATCTGTCAGGTAATGCTTACAAGAATTTCATGAAGCTTTGTTAGCAGGTTCTACACCTTTATAATTTTGCAACTCCACAGGTTTAGTCTTGAGTTGCTAGATTTACAAGATAACCCAAATTCAAAGCCTGACAATTCCATATCATTTTTTTCTGTTTTGATAATCATTTAATTACTTTGGTTTCCTTTTAATAATGGTGATTATTCCATCTGGGTAGAATAAACTTTCTTTGGTTGTCTTATTATGACATCCAATTGCACTCTCTTCCCCAGTAAAACAATTCAATGAGAGGATTAAAGGTCCTTGGAATATTTTGATTGGCTAATACATTGTTTTTAAAAGTCCTAAATTGGATGTCAACATATTCAAATAAGTATATTTCACATTAAAAATTACACACATGGCTTCTCTAGAAAAAAACTGGTAGGATCTGGTACCCTTTGGGCTCTCCTTCCCATGTAGCCACAATCTGTTAGTGCCTGTTTGCCACAAGTCCCATTCATCCCATTTCACTCATTCATGTTTCCTACATAGCCCCTGCAGTCATTTGAATATGTGGCCCCTGGTCTACTCTAGGATTGGAATACATTACTGTTCCATTGTCCAATCCTGATGCTGCTTATCATAATGATGGAAAGCTGAGAAGAAAAGGGGACTCAGAAAACTTCTCCAATTCTTTAAATCGGAGAAGTACTTCAATTTTTCCTATTTTGTGTTTTTTTTCTCAGAATATCATTTTATTTTCTGCTGCACCAATAAAAGTTAAAAAAAATGAAATAGGAACACATATTAATGTGGCATCTACTATGGACCAGGAAATATTCTAGGAAATTTAATTTAGTATAATTTAATATTCATAAAAACCCTTCTACAACTGAGAAATTCAAGGCTCAGATAGAGTTGGTAACATATCCAAGGTTGCACAACTAGTAGAAGAAGCTAAATTTATGTCTGGGGTTGAATGGCTTTAAGGTAGCATCTCAGCCAGGGTGATTAACTCATGTTGGCTTGTCAGGGACTTTCCTGGTTTTAGCAATGAAAGTCCTGTATCCCAAGAAACTCCTTACTCACAGGCAAACCAGTCATCCTAACAGTCAGGGTCCCAAATGTGAAAATCCTGTGCTGTCAATAATAACTGTTCTTTCTGACATTCCTCAGGGAGAATTCACACAAACAAGAGTATCAATTTAAAATTAAGACACTGTCTTGTTAGCTGGTGACAATAACCTTTAGGGCCAGGTTCTCTGATGAAGTTGGAATGGAACCCAAAACTTAGGCATAAGGCCCAAAGAAACATTCTTGATTGTTCCTTAATCCCAATCTTAATACCTGCTGGCCAGTGAGTCAAAAGTTCTTGCTGCAAGATGCAACATGCTGGTAAGAGGAAGTAAAGAGAAAAACAAGATTGCCCAGCCCATTGCAGTGAGTATGCCCTGCCTTAGCTTGCCCATCCAGCACTACGGAAGGAAAGACTTGAAGAGAAGAGCTTCCCAGTCCAGGTAACCCTGTATAGCATAGTCATCCCACCCACTAGTCAGTGTGACCAGTTAGAACCCATAGACTGCATTTCAGAATCTAAGCAATCATTTGAGAGTTCCTTATTGTTAGAAACACTGGAGACTGTGGGCTCAGAGGATCAAGAAGGATCAAGGTTGAGGAGAGATGCTGAGTTCCTCTTTCTTGCTTACTGGCGTCCCACCCTGCCAAGTTCTCTCTCAACCATTGGGCTTAATAGGAAATACTTAAGTCAACCCATTGCCTCATTTACTTGGCCTCTCTGCCAATATTAATCCCTCTCTGAGACCAGTGAGATGGGGTTTGTATATTTTGCCCCCAAAACTTCTGAAATGGGCCAGGGCAGAACTATAATTAAGTTTACTTAAAGGCCATACAATATCACAAACCAAAAATTCACCCCCTATTCTATTCTCAAACTCATCATAAATCCATCCGTTAAAATAATTAAATAAGGAGACTATTAGGCCAGGGTAGCTCTAATGCATTGGTAGGCTATGCAGGCAAACCAAATCTAAGCCAGAGTCAATACACTAAATCCAAGAAAGTAAAACTTAAGAACAGTCAATTAAAAACAGCCACCTAGACTTTCCCAAATAAGGCAGTCACTTAAGTTACAGTCAATCAAACAATTTCCTGGGTTCACTTCCACATCTTCTTTATAAAAACTTCTTAGTTCCTGCTGGTAGAGTACTCCTACTAAGCACTTTCAGTTTAGTGCTGCCTCAAAGAAACTTTTGAAAATTTTAATGTGCCTCAGCTTATCTTTTAACACATCTAAGCTTCTCCTACCCCCACAAAAGTCACATTAGCACAAATAAATGCCCCTAATTTGAACAATATTTACCTTTCCCATTACTAGATTCCACAGAGAAATGAGAGTTCAAAAATTACACAGGTAAGTTAAATTCCATAAAAAACACTTAGACAATATTAACTCCTCTAAAAATGCACTATCCAATACCTGGTTTTTCTTTTTCCACCTCTGCAGAGTTCTGGGTCTCTGGAATGCAGGGCCATAAACCAAGGACATAACCCTTAAGTCCATGTTCTTTCCACTGCTCTTCATTATGGTGGGAAGTGAAATTCATTGCAAACCAGTGAAATGAGAGAATTTGTATAATTTTATTTAAACAACTCATGTACAGAAACATGTGTGGCATGAATGAGGATCTCTTCCTTCTTCTGCCCTATAGGGTGTGTTCCTTCAGTGCTCTGAAGTGGTAAAACTGGGATACAGACCTCACTGTTTTCCCAGGTAAGCACTTATTTCTGGACTGTTGATCCTTGATGCCCAGGAGTACATAAGAAGGTCCCCCAACCAGGGATAAGCAGAGAGAAGGGGAATCCCCTTCCACTTGCATTGTTTGCCATTTCCTGGCCTTGCCCCTTCAAATACATACCAGATTCCACTTTTTATTTAGGCATTTATTCACTGGAGAGTCCCAAAGCTGTACAGAGTGGGAGGAAAGCAAATCTGGCATTGTGTCTGTAATCTAGCTGTGTCACCCCTGGGCCATCAAAGTGCAATGGCTTCATAGCTAAAGCCTCAGGAGTAAGGACGGTCCCAGATAGATAGCCCTCGATGCCTAATTCAGTCTCTTCTTTCCCTTTTGTCCCCAGCTTTCTCTTGGCAGCACATCACCCCTTTTTATTTATAGAGAACACCTCTTCAAGAAATAATAAATGTTACATGTCAATTATATCTTAATTTTAAAAGGTTTAAAAAAAAGAAATAACGAGCTTCAGTCCATTGGTCCCCTCTTCTGTCTTACGCATATTGGAAGAGTCAGGCATGAGAAACTCATTGGCTTTTTCACTCATTGACTTGATTTTGTTCAATCTCTGTCAACTTTTCACAAGGTAAGGTAAAGCTCAAGCTGGCTGCAATGGCTTCTTCCAACCTAGGAAGGAAGCTTCAGAGATAAAGGGAAGTACCAGCTCTGGAGCCAAGGATGGGGAGCACAAAATGGAAAACTGCCACTCTAAGTTGCAGCTTATTTTAATGAAAATCTCCTGCAATCAAAGACCTGAGAAAATGTATTTCTTTGA